ATGATTATATCTATTACCAAACTGTTGAAAATCAAAAACGTGCATTGCAGAGATCGAATTTTGCATATTTCTTCTTTCTTTCTTTCAAGTTGAGCGGGGCTTTGGTAGGATTCCCTGAACCTCATCATGACATCTTCATATAAAATGTTCTCAATTAAGCTGCATGCCTGGAAATTTTTTTTACAACAAACATGTCCATTTTACATGTAAATTTCCGGTTTGGATAGATGCGAGATTTGCTTCTCTTGTCAGATAGAATTTCAAATGTCTTTTATTTACTTAAAGCCAACTTGCTCATCAGAATGGCAAATCAAACTTTTTTTATATAAATTAAAAAACGAACACACACACATACATACACACACACACACACACAGAGAGAGAGAGAGAGAGAGAGAGAGAGAGAGATGTATAAATGGGGAAAATCTTATACTTCAGTGTATTTTTTATCTCAACAATGTGACAGCTTTCAAAAATATCCCTATGTTTAAAAAGATTATCAACATCACTACTGGTTAGTAATTGGATTAATTTGAAAACTCTCATAAAATAAGAATCAATACTTCCGCACGGATATTCATGTTACACAAAAGTTAAGAATCTTAATCTAAACTAGATTAACTTAGATTTAAACTTTTGATCCTACACATATACTCATAGAAACGAGTAATGTTGAAATGATAATATACATGTAGCTGATGGACCAACTTTTACTCAGAATACAGATGGACATGTTGGATAATATGGATAATATATTTTCCATGCTGAATCAATTTAATTTCAAAATAAGAACTTTAATATCAGTTCTTATGTAATTGCCACTTTATTGTTGTATAAATCATTAGAAAGGATATCATGGTACGTTTTTATTTAATTTGTTATTAAAATTTGCTTGGACAAATTATTTGTATCAAGCAGTTGTAATAAACCTGTATATTTTGGCCCTTTTTTCTGTTTTTGTTGATGCATGATTTATTATCATAGACTTTTAACCTATAACTTTTTGGAGTTATCTCTCATACGTCAGCACAATCAGAAAATACTTCGATATTTGTTTTTTTCGAGAGTGTCCTTGTCCCCTTTTTTGCTTACTGTTTTGCTTGTTTTGAATTATCAAATTTGAACACATGCGGTGTATATAAAATTATGTCTTAGGGAAGGAAAGGTATTAAGTTTAATGAGAAGCTGATAAAAAAGCTGATGTTTCAAAATAAATGAAATGTTGTGCTTGTGTTGCCAAATATTGATAATTATAAAAACCATACGAAAACTCCCAAAGAAGCTTAGTGAACTAAAGCACCTTTTCTCAACACTCAGTTTTTTTCACCGGTCTGGACCTTTTAGACGCAACGAATCTTAAGACGCACTGAATTTATGTATAAAAATACATGTAGCAACAATATTTCAGTTTTAAAAGAATTTAGATAAATTTTAAATTGGTATTTTGTTTAATCAGATCAGCTGAGAAAGTATTTCACTTTTCTATCTTTCGTGGATGATTCTACTCACGAATTTAATCCCCACGAAAGTTCTTTCTCGGTGTATCAGTTCATTGAATCTTCATTAATATACGAGTTACCCATACAATTACTTCCCCATGAAGCAGTATTTTTTTTTATTCCCCAAGAACATTGACTCCCAGGAATTAAAATGATTCCACAATGTATTATGCAGAAAAACTCTACAAATATTTTAAAAGATTATCCCTGGGGCCCGTGTTCAGGCCTCAGAATGAGACTAAGATGATCTTGTATTTAAAAAAATATACATCATATCTTTGAATTTTTTTCTTCTCTTATGAACATTTAGTCGGAAAAACATAATACATGAGGTCAATGAAGGTGTCCTTACTAAAATTATAAATTAATGTTTCCTCGGTTCAGGTCTCTTAGGACTGGAAAAAAATCATTATATACTAAAAATGTGTTCTACATGGTTTACTTTAATATATCTCTTGCTAACTGTCTTTTGTTTCCATGACCAAACTGAATGGTACTATTTTACGTGATATAGTTTATATGTTATGACATCAGCAATACGGTGGACATAAAATGTATATTTTTAGGAGGAAAAAGATATTTTAGTACTTAGACAAACGACAAACTTATAAAAAGCTGTAAATTCAATAAAACCGAATGAATTGTTGTGCTCTTGCAAAATGTAACAAAACCATGTTTACATGTATATTCCTCACAAAGTTTTGTGCGCTCCGAGGACCTTTTCTCAACACGTTTTCTTTTTTTACGCCACGCCTCTTAGACTCTTACAAATATTTGTAGCAATATCATTTCATTTTAAAGGCATTCAAATATGCTTAACATTGGTAAAGAATTGTCTAATCTGCTGATAATGTATTTTTACGATTGCTTTGTAACGTTTCTTACTGTCTCAAATAAGGCCCATCTCTCAATACTGTTTTACTTTCAAGCAGTGGTCAGATCTTTCTCTTCCTCTTTCTCACTGTGACAGTCAATTTTACAATTTTTCATGCGTTGCAGTTTGTTTCACGATAACTAATTTATGTTTACAGAGGAGGTACTTGTAAGACCAGACTGTCCGAAAGTAAAATAAGATTTACATTACAATCCCTATAAAAGAGTCATATATTGAAAATGCATTATTTTTCCTGAACATATAGGCACTCTGTTTTTAGGATTGCATTAAATATTCCCTGGGATCAACGTTCAGGCCTCGGGGGAGACTAGGAGAATCATAAATTTAAAATTTTACAATATATCTTTGGAAATCTTTTTCTTCACTTCTGAACATTTGTCTGGAAACTTCATATACGATGACAAAGAAGGTGTCCTTTCTAAAATTATAAATTCATATTCCCTCGGTCCAGAGTTTAAGCACCCAGGATTGGGAAAAGATAATCATATACTGAAAATGTGTTCTATATGACGCACTTTTAAAATGTCTTGCTAAACGTCTTGCGTTGTTTATTATGAAACTAAATTATAGTACTTATTCTATGTAGATCATACTATTTGAGCTTTCTTCAAAATCTTATACATGAAAAGAAGAAAGCAATTGCTGTGGCCTTCAACTCGACATTTAGATATATCGTCGACGTATTGTCAATTAACAATGGTTATTTCCATTCTTATGTCGATACGACATATCCCGGTGAGCTTGAAATAAAAGATATCACAGAGTCTGTTTCATATTTGGATATTTTACTCGAAAAAGACGTTAATGGTTATCTAACAACCAAGCTTTATGATAAACGTGATGACTTTAACTTTTCAATTGTCAACTTCCCTTACTTATACAGCAATATACCTTCATCACCTGTATAAGGGGTTTATTTCTCTCATGCAGTTGACTCGATACGCAAGAGCATGCTCTACGTATGAACAATTCCTAAAACGAGGTAAATTATTGACAAACAAGTTGATGAAACAAGAATATCAGCATTCCCGTTTAAAGTCGTCATTTCGTAAGTTCTATGGTCGATACAATGACCTTGTCAGCCTTTAAGTCAAATGCTGACTGACGTTTTTCATACTAATTTTAGGCCATTATTTACACACTGAATTGTCGACAGATTTTTCCGTTATTACCCGATCATGACAAGGAGCACACAGCGGGTGTGACCGGTCGTCAGGGGATGCTCACTCCTCCATTGCACCTGATCCCACCTCTGATGTTTTAGAGGTCCGTGATTGCTCTACTCCAAAATTTGTATTGTTTCATGGACGTTTGAGCTTGAATACTGTTCGTTATCTCCATATATTTCATTGAATTAGCAACACGGCAGACATAACCAGGATATTTTAAATGACTTTTAGAACGAAAAGATACATCATGTAGAGACTAATGACAAAGTGATAAAAAGCTGACAGATTAAAATAGATAAAAGAAATCTTGACATGTTGTGCCTTCATGCCTTGTAGAAACTATGTATATAATAAAAGGCAACATAATTTCAATCTGAAGCGTTTAGATATGCTTTAAATTAGTTATGAATCATTTAATTAGATCTGTTTAAGATGTACTTTGAATGCTTTTGTAACTTTACTGTTTCAAGTAGGTCCATGTATCAATACTATTCTTCCTCTCTCTCATTATGATCAGTCATACAATTTTTCTCTGCTTCGCAGCTTTTTTCAATGATAAAGAGATAACTGTAAGACTAAGACTGAGAGTATCAACTACGGATTACTGTTTCTGTTAAGTGTGTCAGGTATTGAAAATGCATCATTGAACTTGAATATGTTGCAACCTTCATGGATTGTGATAATGAACAAATCGTTATCTAGCAAAAACGAAACTTATGATTCAGCAGATCCCTATTGTCAATAGACCTCTCGCTAAGTAGTACAATCTATATCTTGTTTTAATTGTAGAGAATAAGTCACTTAAGAACATGTAAATCTCACATAAGATGGGCATCGCAAAGTGGAGCATCTCCTCCAAAAAAAGAAAAAAATATCGATCCCGGTATAAATTCAAACTGAAGGAACTCAAAACAGCTCTATTTCTCGAAAACATGGGGTATCAACAGAGTAAAACAAGTCCGTGCTGATATACTCACAGAGAGGTGTTGGTGCGCATAAACAATGATAAGATCCAATCATTTGATTGTGTTGAACGATCAGCCACTAGTAACACAAGGTATTCAACAAAGCCAAATGCTATCAAGTCGCAGAACTTTTGCACCTAAGATAGCAAATGATAGAAGATAGTCCGACAGTATTTAAAACATACAAGAAAACCCTTTTGTCTGGTAACAATGCCGGTAATATCTGCGAAACAAACTCTGAACACGATGAATGTAGACTGATTTTTTAAACATGTTCGTTCACATGTTTGATTCCTTACAGTAAAACAAATGGAAATAGTAAAAGAGATTACCAAGTCCTCTTGAACAACTAATTTTCAAACAGCCAATTAAGGTACTTTAATACGCTGCAAGAACTTAGCAAATTTAGATAATGCTATATATTTCGTTATCCATATTTCAAGATCTACCCCCAACCATGAGAATGCATTGATCAACTTAACTATATTTTATTCTTAATAATGCGACATTTCATAAAATAATAAAAACTGTAAATGCAACGTAATACATTAACATTTGGAACAAGAATATTTCACTTGCCCATAGAATATGTAAATATATATATATATATATTTCTGAACACATACAGAAATCTTTACCACTTTCCAAGCTTACAAACACAAATGAAGTATGCTGACCATTGCTCAGTGAACTTGGCATCATCACATTGAGCAGTGATGAATAAGCAATATCGACTAGTTTTTCTAGTCACTTAATATGTGTATTGCGTATGAAATAAGCTTGGCGCGTTAAAAATAAAGATTATGTATAATTAAAAGACACTTTCTACAATCTATATGTAAAAAAGGGTGAATAAAACAAACGACAAAGTGATATGTAGGAATAATAAATAGTAAAATCATGCAACATTATTCCATTGACTAGTCACCGCATGCTCCGTTTTGACTCTGATTAGATCGAGGTCAGCTAGAGGTTTGTATTGCACAGGTATAAAACCAGCAGCAAGATGACATAATTGTTGAGACAAAATAATAAGTGTGTTTGATATGCTATTTTTCAGAAGTATTTTGAAACTGATATGAGTATTTCTGTTTAAATTAAAAAAAAAAGGTATGGCACTTTGCAACTGCATGACATCTTGCCTTCCCAAGCTAATAACGTGTTAAATATTTTAAGGTTTGCAGCACTCGTGTAAAAGGACTGGCCACCTTTAGTAAAAGCCTGAAGTACCACTTTTTTAACCCTGACGCACCAAAGACTCCACAAGAGTAAATTCATTCCGTTTAGTTTTCCTGGGTTTTTTTAGCACAAAGAGAAACTAAGTTCACCTTCACCGGCTCCACGAGCAACCGAACCAGATCCACATCACAAAAAGGGAAGTTGCGCACAATACCCACACATTTTATACCATTTCCGGTTTAATTGTCAATAAAGACATGGACATATTTTGTATACATTTTAAAAGTTTTAATAAATATATATTTGATAAAATTCTGTAAAAAGGTGTTAAAAACTTAAAAATAAATATATCACAGAAAGCAAATGTGCACCAAATCATCCCCAAAAATTAGAACCCAACTAATTTTAATACCTCAACCATTTGAAAAACATTGTCCATAATCCTTATTGCACAATTAAACACGTGTCAAAATACATTTGTGTTATAAATAATATGTAATCACTGGCAAAGGTATTCCTGGCAAAATTGTGTGAGTACTTGCACTCTGTTGTGCAGTCCCCCATTAAAAACGCCCGTCCCGCACAAAAATATCAAGAGCAAATAACTCTAAAAATGATATGTATAAATACACTGCCACCATAAAATGCTCTTATGATATTAGTGCTAGTTTCCTTCGTCGTGAAATCACACGTGCTATGGCATAAAATAACTGAGTGTATTGCGCAATTCCACATGAATAATGGAGAATAAATTCAAGCAAAAAAGCCACCACCAACACCAAAACAAATACGGCACCACCACCACTGCAATTCTAAGTTGTTTATTGCCATTTTTATGGAAATATTTATACTTGATGTTATAATGTATATAAAGTCTAAATCTAACATTGCTACAATCATATCTACAACACACGTCAAAAAATCGTGGGAAAAGTCATACATCAGCAGTTTTTTTTTTTTACAAAAATGTACAATTATGCGTAGGAATGATCATATAATAACAAATATCAGTATATCTAGACATGGTAACATTTAAATGATGTATATTTATAGTAGATCTATTATTTATTTATCTGACATTAAAAAAAATCTGTCTTCATGAAGAAAAAAAAAATTATAGAACTAAACAAATCAAAATGTGATTTTCTAACACTTTTCTAGGTTTTTCAAATTTCTGGTGAAAAGGAAATGAACAAGATAATTTAGAAAAAAAAAAACAGATGAAAAAAAATTAAAGCAATTCTTCTCTTAGATATTGCACAATCGTAATATCTATACCTTTGTATTCATAATTTAAGCGAAGCAAATGAGGACAATCCCTATGGTTGAAAATAGCTGTCATGGCTTATGTACAACAATTCAGAATCACAACCTCAAATAATCAAAGTATGAAGCGCTTGCTAAATATGAGATTACTAGTATTATTTAGTATATTACATGTAATAAATTCTAAACAACAAATATGACTAGAACATTCAAATTTCAGTTTGATTTCTTGATATTGCATAGAATTTTTCTTGCATATTTATAAGAGTTATGCGTTGATTTTGGTGTATAGAACTGTTTTTTTTCTATAAAGTTTTGACTGGTGTCAAATTATCATAAAAATCTTCACTTCGAGATATTAAAAAAAGTCTTATATTCAAACAAGGTTAAAAAATACAAAAATATCAACGGCTGTCATGGAGTGATATGTTTTGATATAAACATAAACAACAATAAAAACAAAAAAACAAAATAAACAATGCGTACTCACAATCATTTCGTAACGTGTATAACGGCATAACAATACTTGATTCAATACTCAAATTAGGCACTTATATATGCATATCAATGTTATATAATTACTTTGAAATATTCTTTTTTTCATGAAATTAAACAAATGTCAATTTCTCGCAGCACTAATAACGCCAATAATTAGCAACGTATTCTTTTGCAGTAATCTGTTCTATAGAGTAACATACACCATGTACTAACAACTCTTAAAATACAAACATGGCAAAATAGTCAGAAACGGAAGTGAGACAGGCAAGACTTTGACTGGAAATTATATATAAAAATAATATTGCTAGATTTTGCCATGTGTGTTCAGATCTATTTTTTAGCTGAAATACAAGATCTTTTCAAGAAAAATGAGATTAGCTTATATATATATATCTTTACAATTATAATACAATAAACATCATAAAATTGCTAAAATAAACATATCTATTTGGACCCTGGAATGTCTGAACACATTGTGTAATTTTCTTTCTTTTTATATTATTTTTTTTCACACTGCGTACTTTACCCATGTCAATTTAGGCTAGAAACAGCTCTATAACACACTGTCCTATTGTATGTTTGCTTCTCTGAGCTATTGCACGCTCTGCTTCCGACCGTGTCATGAAGGAAATCAATGCGTCCCCTGTAAGTCTTCCGTCGGGTAAAATCTGGATCTGAATGTTCTCTGGGGTTACCTACACAAAAAATATATAATAAGATATAATTTAAGCCATTCATCAAGGAAGTCCACTTAAGGTATTTCTGTTCATACAGAAATTTGAATAGTGATGACGTTAGATATAATTTTGATGTCATATTTCATTCACATTTCCACGCCACTTTCCTTATGATGTCTTTACTAAATATTTATATTTAAAATGAAAAGAAACATTTACAGTTAAACATGCCAATTTTTAGAATTGAACAAAATTATGATAAATATGATATAAAGTGCTACAACAGAAAGATATAGAAGGGTCATATGATATTGTGAGTAGAAGGCTGTGAAATTATAATATTGATCTGAGTCAGGTTATTTAAAAGTAAATGATTCACACATTAGTTGAAACTTCCACCATGTACAGATGTACATGAAACACACAGAAAGTCAATTACATGGTTTCTTAATCACAATTTCTGAGGTGCTGTGCAATATAGCTTTAACTACTATTAAGCTCAACGTAATTGTATTTAAAGTTTAAGCTTTTTATTGATGCCTTATATCAATTGCGATGAGCTTACATCTGCTTGTGCACAAGTTACAGCAATATATTGTCCATACTTTTATAAAATGTGTTAGTGAAATATTGAAAGAATACTGATGATCGGTTAGCAGAAACTATGGGTAACTATGGATACACTCTAGAAGCAATACAAAAGCTAAAATTCAAATGCACACTTCAAACATACAGGGCTCCATCCTATTCGAATATCCACACACATTTTCCTGTTTCAAATAGACTAGGTTTTCCTTTAGCAATGTTCAAAATAATTTCTCTGTATTGTTTTCAGGTATCAAATCACGATGTTTGTGATTTATAATTTTCAAGAGCTCAAATGATAAGTACTTCAAATGATTTCTTAATTTGGAATATGGACCTAAACATACCTCTGGAAAACCTTGAAAGAAGTTCAGTATGTCTTGAACTTGTGCATTGATGGGTAGGCCTCTCAATACGACAAGCGTCGGAGGCCCTGTATGTGTGACATAGGTTTGTGGAGAAATAGGAGGGCTAGGGTACCAGTAAACAATCTGGGGGAAGTAGGCTGGTCGTGGAGCTGCTGCAAGGGGGGCAGACATCATAGTTGGCGGGAATGCGGCCGTCTGGAGATGCTGTGGCAAGTGGGCAATAGGCAATGATGCCGGCTGCAGTGATGGCAAAGACGTTGGAATGAGTGTGGGCGTTGTTGGGGAGGGAAAAGAAGACAATCCTGAAATACAATGGAGTACACTATCAGACTCAAAGATCCTTTAATGGGAAAATATATTATATCAGTTTAACTTTCAATGAAATAGAAGTGCATACCTTGTGATAGAATGGGTCTCTGTATAAAAGGTATTTGTGGTGGTGAAGGTATAGACGTTGTGGGAATACCATTAGTCAAAACGAGATTCATATCCTCCCCAGAGCACTGTATAACATCAATTATTCTTTTCTTTTGGGCAAACACCATGTGTCTCTTATTTCTGTTTATTGTTGTCAGCTGTGCTGACTCCTCAGAATCCATCTGTATGAATGCTTCACCTGAAGGTTCCCCCTGTAAAAACGCAAATTTCACATTTAACAATTTTTTTCAGGTATTGGTCTCAAGTTTTCTTCGTGTTTTCAGAATAATCAAATCTAGAAATAATGAAATTATTTTATTTGTACCTGTGCTGTATAAACCATGTGAACGCCCTGGAAGATTATGAATTGAGAGAACTCGCCCAGGAAGTTAAGAATATCTGTAACCTGAGCGCCACCTGGAATGTTGCGTAACCGGATGCAATCGCGACGCGTGCCGCTGGTAATGAGGCTTTGAGGAATGTAAGGAAGCTGGCTTTGCGGAGTTAGTTGAGTGATTATTGCTGGAAGAGGGGTTTCTTGGGGTTCTGGGTTTCGTGGGTCCATACTTCTGTTGAGAACCTGTTTTCAGAAATAAACTATACGTCAACCATTGGAAACATTTTCAATCAGAACGATAATATATATGGGCCTTTACTCTGTTTCCTCTTGTTCTGAAGTCAACAAATATTTAACTGAGTCTGTTCTTCATAACTGATAGGTACCTGTTGAACTTCAGCTGTAGTGCTTTTAAAGAGTTCAATGTAGCGTGTTCCCATTATCTCCCTGTGTTTCTTCAAGGCTGACACAGCGTCTTCTTCTGAGGCAAGAAGTACAAAAGCATCACCAGTGGATCTTCCATCAGGATAGTGAACGAAGAGAATCCCTTCTTCTCCATCCAACACCGAAACGGATGGCTCTCGAGCAAAGAACTCTAGCTGTAAGCGCAAAGACAGATAATAGCAACGACAACTTTGACAATGCTTTTATCATGCACCAATATCATAAGCTGGTGTAAATTAGTATCTGCAGGCTGTGCCATCATCCTTCTGGGGAAGTCGATGGCAAAGATTGACCAAAAACTTTTCAATGATAAAACGGCTTCATGTGTTATGATTTTTTTTGGCAAGTATCACATATAATTATACCTGAAAGCCTGTAGTATATTATTGTCCTTCCCAGTGGTACTTGTTACTACTAAATTGTTAAGCACAACTTTGTTTATTAGTGATTAATGAAAAACCCCATATGATATATACCAACACAACAATACGGGATGAGAGCCCTCCAAAGTCCTGCAGATACCAATATCAGAACGTTTTCAGTATCAACAGAGGTGTTTCAAAGCAACTCAGCTCGAAGTGAATTTTTGGAATGTTAGAAAGAGAATGGTTCTGCACAAAGACACAATGACCCCCTTCTTTTCTTGTGAACATGCACTGCGCCCTTCCACTACAGTGAGATAACTATACCTCCTTTAGAAAAAAAAACTTCACAAGCTAAAAATGATCTAGAAGATGTCAAATATAAAGAACCATCTCTTTCTAAAAATCAAATTATAAACTTTATGTCACGTAGAACATTAAATTGCTAAAAGCTTTCAAAAATAATTATTTTCAAAGATATATTTGGAATGCCACCTCAAGTAGTCTTAGAAACACCTCCGACCTGATAGAATGAATGAATATATAACCTATTTACCAAGAATTAATTTTATTTGTAAATCGTATGTTACTACGAATACCCCGCTTCACTCCTAAGGTGAAGATATCTGAGTAATTATAGTTGTAGCCTGCAACCAACCCTTAACTGCCCCGCACCGTCGGAAAACTTGCAATACAATTGGTTCATCACTGGCACCAAAATTTCCATATCCAATATGGCGACAAAACACGAATTATCTCCCCTATAACCGTAACCTCCCTTAGCGTCCACACGCATTCCCTTTTATGAATATTACTTATTGGGGTCCTCAACTTACCTGTATTCAGCTCAGAAAATGTTTTAGCAATTTTGCTAAAACCGCATGCTGAAAAATGTATCATGTTAAGCAAATTTTGAACATACATCATGCATTGGTAATCTGAGTTCATACTAAGTAGTTATAAATATGCAAAGTTTTGCAGAGTAAATGAAGGACTCTGTGTACGCTTAATTCCTAAATAATAAAAGCCTGGATATGCAAAGTTGTTTCTGCACGTAGGCAGTTTTTATACTTACCACCTGTTGCGCTGTGGCTGTAAATGGCAAACCACGCATGCGTATAATGACTTGTCCACCTCTTGAAAGAAATGCTTGTGCTTCTGAATTACTACCTGAAAGCAAGTTGTCCTTCGTGAGACATCAGATTTAATAGACAAGTTAAAATTGAAATTCTATGAGAACTTTTGACCCGCGAGAACTTTATTTTTGCGTAAATACAATGGGTCGCGAAATTTTATTCTCGCTTATAGTACATGTAGTATTACTTAAGATTATATATTATGACAATAACCAGAAATCGAGAAAGTTTTCTCCAACTTATGAATAAAATATCTCGCAAAAATAAAGCGTCCTCAGAGTTCGGTTAAATCAGAATCTCACAATATAATTACATGCAATCTGAATGACAACCTACCACCGGCAACATTGACGAAATCCTTTCCAGTGGCTTTATACACCTCTATGTATCTTTGACCAATATGATGTTTATGCCTTTTCAGTGCTAGGTCCCTATTTTCTTCATTTTCTAATCTCACCAATGCCTCCCCATTCCTCCTACCCTGCGGACTTAAGCAAAGAGCTACGCCACCTCTATTAAAGAAAATGGGGTATTTTAGAATGTTATACTTCAATAAAAAATATTTCATCTGGGGAAATTATTAATCCTTGTTCGAAAAACGTACTTTGCAATGTTCAATCCTTTGAAGAATCGAGCGATGTCTTGGTCGGAAGACTGCCATGGAAGACCGCGAGCCCGAACAACATGATTGTCATCTACAATGTCCGATTTACTGCTGCAATGGTATAAAAATCATTTTTAGATACATGAAAAGTCATTTTGGTTGATTTTCTAAATGAGAAAAAAATTACTTATATATACAAGTATATGCATGAATTATGTATTTGAAAATGGTATCATTTTTACTTAATTACAAAATTAATAATAACTTTACATGGCTTAACGTCTATAATTGAATGTGGACAGCTGGGCAAATCTATGAACTAATCCAATGATCTTATTTTTATTTATTTAACAAAATTACTAAATATTGATTTACTGCTCCAGCGTTCAACATGTTACCAAAGCAGCAGTCACAGCTACAGTAAAGAAGACAGATGTCGCAAAATATCGTGATATGGCGCTTACCATATACCGGGTTCTAAGCGTTCGTTTATTATCTCTGGTTCCCCAAACACGTGTCCTACAATTAAAAGAAGAGCACATAGAAACACATTGTGTCGCTTCGCATGTGGTAGATGAAGATCGGGAAATATACAATACTTCTATGGATAGAGACCGCCATAATATCTTGTTCAGCTATCTTACGTGTTGACAGTATCTTGCTGTTTTGTTTTAATAAAGCCTTCAATGGAATTTATCAGTCTAAAATCAAAACTTGTTATAAGCTATAGACAAATCTCCAAAATCTCAATATCTATCCTAAGAGATCAATTTTGTCCATGATAACGATTTACATTTTCTGAAAAGTTTAACAAATAGACTTTAACAGATATATTTTGTATTTCCAAAACGTATTGTTCATGTCATTTGCTAAAAATTGCAGATGAATCTTGGTTTGTGTCTCAACACATTTTCAAACTACAACACACGATTATTTCTTGGGTGATATGTCTACGACATTTGGATATCAATAAGCAAAGTTACAAAACCGCAAACAAAGACTTCGACTTCAAAGACATTTAAAAAAACGAGTGTGAACTCAAATGTAACTAGTGCTAATTGTAACGGGAACCGTTACAGATGTTCCCCAAACGGCTCCCCAATCCCTAATGATGCCTCATTCCCTACAAGCTTCAATAAATTAGACAATACTTTTGTAATATAGATGTACACTTTATTTTAAAGGGTATTTCATTGGAAAACTACTCCGATATAGCCATATGGGTATTAGCCAATCAAATTTCAGCGCATGTGCTTGCACATGTTTTCTACATTTTTCACTTTAATTTTCTGATAGTGTCTCACAATACATACAGTTGTGTTAAATATTAAAGAATTTCATTGAAAAATAAGAGAGATGTAACCCTGTAAGTATTAGCCAATCAGAATTCAGCATACGCGCATGCATGGCCTTGCATTCAATTTTGATAGTATCATAATGTAGGAGCTCTATGTGCCTATCCATGTCGTAAATTTCATTCTGTTTTGTTGAAAACCAAGGGAGTTATAGACATTTAAAGTTTCAACCAATCAGATTGCAGCACACCTGCATGCGCGTGTTTTCAAGAAATTTCCGATATAACATGTTGTAGCACCTTATAATATATACTTATATATTCTAAATTTCAAAGTATTTTGTCAAAAAACAAGGAAATTATTGAGATTTTTGTATCAGCCAATCAGAGAAGAGCGCACGTGCATGCGCGTGAGTTCACGCTAATTTGACCATGTTATCTATTCTAGACTACTAATGTATCTTTATGTTTTGAGTTTCAAAGCGTTTCATCAAGAAATATAAAAGTTACGGCTTCATCAAGTATATCAGTCATTTCACTCATTGCACGCGCGCGCACGTGCATGCATGTGCGCGCAAAATGACCTTCGTTCCGAACACCTACACAACATGCCTATTAACCCTAAAAAGGTTTCATGTCAATCGGATGAGTGGTTCTATGAAAACACTCCCGGACAAAAAAGTACCGGAGAAGAAAGTAGAAAAAAAGAATAATAATAATAATAATAATAATAATAATAAGAAACAGAGTAAAAACAATATGTTCCCAAACTTCGTTTGGGGAACATAAAAAAAAAGAAAGACTATAGTCCTCTTTTTACCCCCTTAAATTGTTACTTCATAAGCAGAAGAATAAAATCATGCTACAGTATATTTATCCTACACAACAACGGGCTCTCTAAAATCGGAGGGGGGGGGGGGTAAAGTTTAACATCAGAGTAAATAATGTTATATTTACCATCGTTGATTAATCTGTGAAGAACATTCGCCATTTCTTGACATTGTCGAATTCCATATTCCACAGAGTTGTCCTCTTGTAATCCTAAATCTAATGGAGTGAGTCAAGGAAAAGTACTAACCCATTCACAATTCTATTAGTAATTGAAAGATCTTTTATATTTCATTATTATCCTTTTTTATACACCGTATGGGTGTAATACTTCAAACAAATTATAATGTAATGATAAACTTCCAATGTAATGTAGTAGTTAAGATATTTAAAAAGCTTCCCTGCGAAAAAAAATGTTTGCGCTAACTTCAAATGAATCAAAAGAAGAAATGCGAACGATGATTATCAAGGCTATATTTACACATCTATTAAATAGTTATGTCAAGTTACACTTTTAAAAGACATGGGGTTTTTAGAAGAAATGAACGCAGTGCAGTGTGTTAACAATATAAAAGAACCACGCTTTTTGTGAGAAACATATCATTTGAAAAACAGACGACAGAAAAAGAAAAATGGAGCCATGAACATCCTTTACTTATTCGCCCAGGCGATTTTCCTTTGTATTATAGTCAACTGGAGATTATTTTTAAAGATTGTTTCGATGTCAGTGTTTAGATAAAACAAATGCATGCATGTTAACTTTTTAGAGCAAAGAACAGCTAGTGGGATTGTGGACGAGGTGATTTATTCGGTTCGGAATGGATGGATAGAAGGTGTTTTCTGTGTATCCCTGGGGCGAAAAACTTGAGTAATCACCGAATAAAACTGTTCTGACAAGGGAATGTTTTGTTTTATCAGTATGTACAGAATAAGTTAAGTTTCTCCTAAAGGGCATTTACGAAGGATTTAGTTGTAAGCTGTACAAACAAAATATAAAGATCTATTCTCTTGTAAAGATATTTTGACAACATACAAAAAATTTTGCTCATGGAAGAATACAACTTGTTGAATGTTTTTGTTGTCTTCTTAAAATAAGTGTAAGACATGTTTTCCCCCCTGAAATTCATGTACCTTGTAGATGATCGATTCTTCAAGTTGTTTAATACCTACGTAAATGAGTTATGTTTAGTATGATAGTCTCTATGTAAGTTACGGTGCAATCTGACAGATCACCGCCAAGATTTTTAATCGTTAGAGCAATGACACATGATCACTTTTAACAAAATAAATTGCAGAAGAAAGAGACTTTGTTAAAGATTTTAAGAGTCTCGAGCATTTTCCTCGAACGATAAGCCTAAAGTCTTTGACGACTTCACGTTTCTCGGCTAAGAAGCGGTATTACTCAAGTTTTTACAAATCCCTCTCCCAAAACTTGGAAAGCTTCGATCTACAGAAAATCAATCCTTACAGCTTTTGTGCCCTTGCAGATATCGATACCCTTGTCTTTAAAATTCCTGTCTTACGCATCTTGCATTTTCCCCATAAAAAAAATCCATGACCACAAGTTTGAATACTGTACGCCAATATATTCTTCACCAAAGTCATTAAATTAAAAAAGAAATATTTTTGAGGTTAGCTTTTCTTTGATCTGATAGATTGCATTGTATATGATCTGGTACCAAAACTTTCAGTTTTTGTGTTAGTTTGAAGGTCTGTATGACAATAGAAGATGGCCTTTCTGATAACAGCCATTGTGTGGAACTTCGAAGATTTACGCTTAATAAGGAGAGATAAGGAATCGCAGAAATTGAAACTAGGATACCTTCTACAACAATAGTACCGACTCATCTACCAATGTCAAAAAACAAAGCAGCAAGTGACATCGAACTTCGCCTGGGTCAGAGCAAGACAAAGGAGTTAGAATGGTAAATTGTCGTCAAAACGAAAATGAGAAAGTTCTGTGAGCAAGTTTGAACGTACTATCACACAACCGCTATTTGATCAGCAAAACATAAGAAACAAAAGAGGTGAAATGCCAAAATATGTAGTGTGTGCAACTTAAAATCATATTATAATCATACAACCGTATTTATTCATTTTCAGAAAGAAAATACTTGTAGTCTAAGCATTTTTCACAAAAACGTAATTGCATCTTATCCCACAATATTTACAAATGTCGGTTTACCAAATGAGAAAAAAGAAATCAGTAACTATATTTACATTTATAAAAATAAAGTTTTAGTATGTATAAGCTTCTGAATGTTTAGGAAAGCCTCAGGCGGTGTAAATTCACAAACCATGACTTTTTTTTTACCAGGATAGCTTGAATACAATCAATCATTGTGCTGTCACCAACATATGTCCTGGGGCAAAGAGATCTCCGTCCCACGAAAACAGAGATGAGCATCTTGCTAAGAAATCTTTAATCTCTGTCTTAGTGCAGGAAATCGTTATATCTTTCTCCATAATGCACTTAAGTTTTATTTTATACATATGAGCTGCATTAAAATTAAAAACTGAACACTTCTGGGTTTTTTATCAATTCCTCCGAGGTTAATGCACGAAGAAATTGACTTAAAGCTGTGATTATTTTTACATTAATTAGCATAAATTGTTCATCAACTTGCATAAATCTCTCTACTGTCTTTCGCATGTAAATATCGTATTTTCGCAGTTTGTGTTACTTCAGTCCGAGGTGTATATGACCATATAAATGTTGCTGTATATCAACCTCGGGCCAGCAATCAGAAAGATCTAGGAAGTCAATGTTGGCTATATAAAAGGATGGAGCCAGGGGTGTATGTTTTGATAAAGAATTTTAGCTTTTGTCCTTGGGACAGGATGGCATATTTCTGGTGATGGTCAAACTGAACCTTCAGATGTGACAGATATCGCCGAGCCAAACCCTAATGAAATGTATAGCAACGAAAATAAAAGGCCCCATTTCCAGTTCTTTTATGACACATAACTTGTTATATTGCCACAAACCACACAATTTTGCCTTTCATGGCGAACAAGGGAGAAACAAAAACAAATTGGACGCTTGTGCAAAATCAAATTCACCTCCATTTTCAATGTGTATATACATGTATGTGTAATGCTATCAAGAATCAAAGCAATATTGACATAGGAGAAAATCATTATACTATCTATGGTAGCAAAATGAAATCTTAAAAAAAAAAACTTTTAGGGGGCTTCATTATATAAGAAAGCTCGGTTGCGTGAACAATCCACTCACTGAAGAGGTTGTTTCACTGCATTCAGATACTGATAAGAAAATTTAAAATCAGGAAGGGGTCGGGTACAACTACCCGGTGTGATACAAACAATGGTAAGTTATCACTAGACATCACAGCTATGGCAAACACGGATGAGGACTCATTTATCCAACTTGGGCCCTGCCGGCAAACAAAGAAACCATCAACATCGCTATGACGAAGATTTGCAAAACTACTTGTAGTGGCTTATGTTCTTAAAACCTTTGCATGTATACGCATAAACAGCTAAGGTTGCTTAATAATTTGTTTACCAATGTTTTTCGTGTTTCTTGTGATATGAGAAAGACAAATGCATGGATCAATTTATCCAAAATTCTGCATGATCAGCTGCAACCTATGTTTCTATCATAAATTTAACCTAACCCCCCCCCCTTTTCCCCAGCATATGACTAGAAACTCCGCATTGATAAAAAAAAAAAAATCATTTTTGGAGAATGTCAATACGAGAAATGATCGATGATCAAGAAAACTCCATAAAAAATTGTGTGTATTCGGACAAGGATCGGCGCATAGGCTACAATAGTAATCGGTAGTAGCCATTCCACAAATGATTACGACAGGTTTTTGAGGTAATCGGCTAAATAAACACTGGTTCGACATATAATCTGTAAACCTATTTTTCTCCCAAAGGATAGCAGACCCCCGATCTACCCGTGTTAAACCTAATCCAACCTGACTAAACATCAACGGATTGTACTTTCATTTTGGGGACTTTAAATGATACTTTCCATTCTTTCCCCGATTAATCCTGTTACTCCTAATTCCGTATGTTTGTTTTTCTTATTAATTTTGTTCCTTTGTCTGGTGCCTTCATGAATATATTTAATTCTTTTAGTTATGTATAACGCCAACTTTTCGTTTACTCAGCCAAGAGTAATCCAGCTATACTTATCGACATACTGAGACCAACTTTTTTTTTTACAGAAATGTTAACGAGAAATGTTTGACAATAGCTTGAAAACTATTAGAGTATTTCACGACTTTTGAAAATGAGTGTGAATTACACTGAACAAGCAATATCAAACTTTTTTCTCTCTCTTTCTTAAGAGCTACAATTAAACCGTCAGGTTAGAATAACTATGCAATATGGGTGTTTAATAATTACTCTACTGGGAGAAATTTTCAAAAGGCACAACCGTAACATATTTTTAAATATATATGTAGAGATGATACGCGATACGAATTTTTTTTTAATGAAATATGGAGGCTCAAAATTGATTAGAGAGTTACCCATTAATTTAGACGTGTCATATAAATTGTAAAGTAAGTTAGACAATTTGTTTTGTTTATGATACTCACACATTCCATCGCAAGATTTCTCCTTGGTGTAAATTTTGCATTAAAGAAAAAGGATACAGTCCAGCATAGATTTTATATTGGGTATATTATCTGTTTTGTAGAACTTCTTGAATTCTTTCCGCAAGTCGTAAAACTTGAAAAAATATGAGGGCAATGAAATGTTTTTGTTGGTGGTCTCCGGGTGGAGACATTGGCGAAGATGTAACTGTCCATCTGTTAAGACACAGAATGATTTCCCTCCGTGTTCCGGGTGAACTCCTTTGGAAGACAAAAATCTGTCGAACTGTGAATAAAAAAAATATACACGTAAATAAATATATTGTCATTGCACCAAATATGACACAAACGTCTCAATACGTTTTGTTTTATTTAGGACTTGGTGCTCTTGCAATTCCTAATAACGTCAGAAAATACCAACAGATGCCTATTTAATTGTTTTTAATGAGGTAGGATATTGGGTAAAATATATATGGAGCAGATATACAAATATGGATAGAAATATATGATGACATTACCAAACCAGACTGTCTAGTCTGTAATTTTAAAGAGTTTACGGATAAAACCATCTTGACCTTCAATCAACACATGCATTGGTCTTCTTTCTTCCTTTCAGAGAGTTAATATTTTGAATGATTTATTTCATTTACACTTAACTGCAGTTGTATTTGGTGCAAAAGTTTACAACATGCTGGGTTTTTTTCTAGACGGTTTTTCTGTCGTCTGTAGCAGTACAAGTTGTCGTCTGCTGTTAGATTTTGGGACAGGTTTCATTTTTCCCATGACATGAAGAATTACGATAACGTTGAAAGTAGTCAGGTGCCTATAGATATCTTCTGAGTACTTGCTAATCTAAACAGGTGTATTCCGTTATATAACTCTAAAAAGGACAACAATCCCCTTGGCTATTTATCCCCCTCTTGAAGATGTCGTGAGTAAAAAAAAATACCCATGACCTTATTTTTTTCTCTTGAAATTAGCAACAGTCAGCTGTTTAGGTCCCAAGTCTGTATTATATACATGACATTTATAAGTAATTCACAAAATTGGACAATTTATATCGGTATCATATATAATTGTACATTTTCGCTATTTGTGTCATCCTCGTCAACCGGAGATAGTCGGCAATATGCTACAATCGTTATTTTAGTGGAAAAGTCAAAAAGCATCTAACTTGTTGAGTACACCATATATAGACGATCGAAATTAAAATATTCTATCTGACCAGCTGGCACAGCTTTTCGTCATCAGTACTTCTCCTCTTGGCAAGAATTGTTCGACAAGATGTTACCAGCACGATTTTCAAATGCATGGGCTCAAACATACGTCATCGATTGGAAAGAGTTGACAACAGGTTGCGATTGGAAAGAATAAGAAAAAGGACACTCTAAGAGTGCCAGAGCAAGTGGTCATTTATTAAATATTCACCAATATAAATTACAGCGATTAATTTGATTATTAGATTCTTTTGTCGAGACATTCGGTAATTAAAGCAGCAATAAATTATTCACAAACCATAAGTGTCCCTCAAGTTTTTGGAAAAAATTAGATATACAGTATATGTCATATTTGTCCTCGCCATGTATCTAATTATACAAAAAATTTCTCTTGACGCTAACACAATCATTTATCATGCAAGTCAGGCGAGAAAATGTTATCCGGAGACAGAATGACACAATTTCACTTACAGTGGTTTTACTCCGAGGGTCGAATTCTGAAGGCAATTTGAACGAACATAAGGAATTTAAATGCAGATGTTTATATATATGAATGGTGAACCCATTGTTGCATTATTATTTAGCTCCGTTGACTGTTTGTCAATCAACAGCTGATGTTGTTTGCTTAAGGGTGTACAGGCACACAACAATGTTCACTTCTGAATTGGGGGAGTAAACAAAAATGAAATATACACTCATAAAGTCGCGTGGATATTCGTACGCGTGTATCTATAACTGGGTGGTAAATATTAACATAAAAGGGCATTAAGTATGGAATAAATAGCAGTAAGTGGTTTTTCGATGGTTGTCAAATAGATAGCTCATGAGGGGATTGATAAGAAATATACACCGGGATGTAAACTTTAATGGGAGGGGGATGTAAGAAATGTAAACAATGATCTCACCTCATCCAGGATGTGTTCTAGAGGCTGAGAATGCTTGACTGCTTCTTCGTTAAGGCCGGTCTCTGTCTTACATTCTTCTGTAAGCACAGTTTCTGTTGTCTCTGATGGTTGAGGCTTAACATAATGTTGTTGAACAGCAACTACCTACGGAATCAGGAATAGAATGGTTAAAAAAAATAAAACCTTAAGAGGAAATAATGTCTTTAAAAAAGTTGTCAAGATGAGTCATTTGTTGTGTCTTTAAATAAAAGCCGGTTTTGCTTTTACATGGTACATTAATAATCGTGTGAACACTTCCAATTTCAACCTGCTGTGAAATCACTTACGTACACTGACACATTTAAAGACACCATATGGCGAGTGTTTAATGCAGAATTAAGTTTTTGAAAGTTTTAGTCAAAATGTCATGAAATGTACAAAGTGAAATAAACACTACACACCTATGGACAGGTAAAAATAGGCCAGAGTAAACGTGATTATTTTTAGCTAAGAAGGGTCTGTCGTTCTTGTGTTTACATACTTCTGGTATGTCTATTCAGTGAGGTCGTGTGTAATGTATCGAATGATTAATAGTATAGAAATGTCATACCTAAAACTTATCTCAGTGAGAAAAAAAAAAGTTACTAAGTTTTAAAAGTAAGATAAAGTGTACACAAAACCGCGTGTTCAACACAGGTGAATGAAACCGGATGGCCGTGTGTGTATGTATGTGTGTGTTTTGAAGTGGGTTACGTGTAGAAGTTTAGATAAAAGTTTCCTCTCACCTTGCAGTTTAGCACGTCGAATAATAGATACACAAAGAGCACAATTTGTTCCTCGTCCACTCCTAAATCTTCCCCATTCTTGCCAGCAGTGGCACAGAAAGTCACTACTAGATGAGAGGTAGCCATATCGTGCTACCTGTGTCCAGAATACCTGCGTTATGAACTCTTTAATGCAAATGAAATGTTTTGTCACTGCGATCACCCATGTGCGTCGTCGCGGGACTTTTTATCCTAGGGCAATCTTATTGGTCCTGTATTCTCTTATTTACGTGGCACTCGAACGAAAATACCGCCTCGCCTGCGTGCGCAAATTCTCTTATATATTGCACACTGCTTCTGAAAAATATAAAATTACCTTAAAACAAGCTGTTACCTTCTGAAAATTCGTTCATGACAAAAGAAACCCCCCAATCAATAGTCTAGATCGAAATTTTGACGACTTAAGACCTGTGATTGAATGCTTTAAATCTCCGCGTTGAATTGTCAACAAAACTGACAAAAGCTCCCGCTGTCATTACTGCTCTGATGGGCAATGTGCATTGTTTAAAGTAGATGACAACTTATCATGAACGCTAATCTAACAACAATTGCATAAAACAACACAAAACCTATAACTAACACTGTGTCGTATTGTCTTAGCAAATCCGTCGGTAGGTACAGTTCTCAAATATAAGCAACAGGGGTCTCAGAAATAATTAAAATGACGGATCCTTAGGTCTTTTCAGAAATATTAATCAAAGCAATAGAATTATTTCAAAAAGGAATACGTGATCATCTAAGTGACTCTTAAAACTTTGACCCCTAAATTAAAAAAATGCTTAAGTGTCTTATATTAAAATGATAATACTCCAGTCAACTTACCGAAGTTTCAACAATCTCAAAATTCCCAGCACACTTTAATATACATCCACGCCTGGCATAAATTTGAAAGAGCCTCTATGACTAGGACATATAATAATCTGTAAATCTTTTAATCCGACAACAGATATAATGCCTTAGTCCTAGCCCCCGGGGTCGACTTCTAAATTACCTGTGTTATCAGATTCGACTGGTTATCGCAACAGGTGTGAAAATTCCGGCCACAAACCTCGGGATAGTAACAGCGGACAATTTTCCGCCTAGCGGCTCGTGATAAAATTAGATAAAAATCATTAAGAATAATTATGAGTAATCTCCAGTTTTGGCTTATTGTTACAATTGCAATATTTTCCACAATAGACCCACCGTATGGTTTATTGGGATAATTTACTGCCTGTCGACTTATTTAGGGTTTGATATAACTGTCATTACTCACCACCGTTCACTACTACAATAGAAAGACTGGTAAAAATATGGAATATATAATTGCAATGTATTTGCTACGATATCCCACTTAATAAATACAGGGATTAACCTGTTGTCATATACATATATTCATTGAATAATATATATGCTCTAATAAAAATTAATTTTGCAAACTGGTCCTCTCCTGAAAAGTATCGTGCGTCAAACTATTTTAGAGAAGTCCCCGAACTACTAAACTACGACATGTGTACTATAGATGAGGAAAGAAAACAAGGTATTTGGACTGTGGACGAATGCAGAATTTGTTCTTTTGCACAAGAGATGAATTTTCCTATTTATAGCATCGTCATAATATGTAGTCGCCTGTTAACGTCTATTATGTATTTTCTCCGTAATGTCCCCACAACAGTGTTTTCTAGCATTTGCTTCTTCTTTTTTCAAAACAGATGCATTTTATTATAACAACTTTGATATTTCCAAGTATATCATTCGGAGACATATGAATAAAGAATTCAAAACCCCTTAGATAAAAGTGGTTAGAGATTTAAAAAAAAAAAAACAACAACAACAACAAATTTCGGAGAAAAACATTTCAGAAATCACATGTACTCCAAACTCGTTGGGTACAGAACGACTTGGATTAAAAGGTACTCTATATTTAACCATATTCTAGCCAAAAAATCTAAATATTCAAGAATAAGCAGGGACCATAGGTCCCTGGAATAAGTCCATGCTTTCTTTCCATCCAAGAAAGAAAGCATGAGCAAAGAACAGCAAAATTCTTTCATTTTTCCAGCATTGCAGAAAAAATACATGAGCATAGACAATGCAGTAGTCTTTTCATTTTGGTGAGGAGAGGGGGGAGGATAATTTTTTATATATTTTTAAACATCACTCTGCAAAATCATACAAAATATATTTGAAAGAGCTACAGAGGGTTTAATTTTTATTTTAGAGAGAGAGAGAGATTATAGGGTTACATGCAGTTTTAATTTATGAATATTTACATTTAAAAAAAAATAATTAAAATGATTCTAATGGTTCCAGAAGGTGTCAAGTATATCCTTTTCGCCATTTCTATATAAGCAATACCGTATATTTCTTTTTTTTTTCGTAAAATGTATTCATAAACGATATTGCAGCAACTACATTGTCTTCCCATCTCATAGTGTAGATATAATATTTTAGTCATAGAACAAGGTTATTTTGTATATTTTCCTTTTCACCCAAGAACCCAAAAATGAATATTTTTCGTTGATATTTGAAGATTAGTTTTATTTTTAATGTAATCTTCAAATTCTCTTTAAAAATACTGTACACTATCACACTCCCGAAGCAAATGTTCGATTGTTTCTTCAATCTAACAAAATGTACATGTACCGTTCTTACCATCTATAATTTTAATTTTGAATAAATATAAGTTGGAAGCTAAAATTTTGCTCAGAATTCTATATTGAATTCATTGCAGTTTTGTAATTATTTGTAACTTTAAAAGGCAATCTAAAAATCATTTTCCATTCTATATATTTCAAATCAAATATTTCACCATCTTTTACCAGTAGGTTCTGTGCAGTTATGATTGATAAGGTTATAAAACTGCCTTGATCTTCTGCATCGTAGAAGGATATATATACATATTCGACATGACCAAGGGGTTTTGTAATTTAGCTGCATTTTCTTCAAAGTTGACTTTTTTTCATCCATGCTTTATGAGCAGTTATAACAATCATGAATTCAAAAAATTAATTTTCATATCACAAAAATATCCATAAGTCAGGAACAAACCCTTTTCACTAATAAGATCATAAAGGTGTCTGATATTGGAGTTAAACATGGATTTACTTTTTCCCCAACAAGGATAGTAGAGTTGTAAAATAATGGAGTATATTATCAGTTGTTCCTATAGTTAGGTTTTGTTTATACTGAACCTCGATTCATGAATCAAATACGTCAACCCAAAATTTGTCTTTCTGGGATTTCTTTGTATTTTTTATATATTCAATTCCACAGGTTGTAACTTTTTATGATCTTAATTTGGTATAAAATTATGCAGACCTCTTTTTGAAAATAGTTGCCTCATTCCAAATAATTTTAAGAAATTATAAAAGCCTTTATATTTATCATCTTTAACACCCCCACCCCTCGTCATTTTTTAACCATTACACCCTATTTATTCCATGTTGAGAGTGGTTCCACAAAAATAAAAGAATACTTTATCGAATTCTTTATAAAATTCGTTATCATGATATGGAATTATATATACATGTAACATGTATAAAGATATGATTTAAAATAGACAAAGCCCAAGTTTTGATAGAACTAATTTTTCCTCAAGGTGTTAAGTGTTTATTCTTCCATTAATGGCAGATTGATTCTAATCTACTTAACTGTGGCTGATAATTCAGTTTAGACATATTTCGTGACTCTCTACATCGAATTTAATTGAAGTAAATTTGTTAGTCCCCTCTTTACAGATTAAAATCTCTGGAAAGGATATCCTGACTATATTTTTTGGACCCAATCCATACCCGTATTGGTTTTTGAAAAGTTAACTCTTAGTCCTGACATTTCAGAGAAATGCTATGATACTTTATCGTTCCTAAAAGAGATTCTTTGTTACCTTCAATGATAATTGATGTATCATCAGCTAGTTGTGAGATATTTTTTTCATCAGCTAGTACGTATACTTGTGAGATTTTATTATTTCAAACAGTAATTCCTTTAATACTTTTATTTTCTCTTATTTGTGAAGCTAAAATTTTTGCACAAAGTAGAAATATATAAGGTGATAAAGGATCACCTTGTCTACGGCCTCTTTGGATATTAAAGGATGCCGAGAGATTACCACCTTGATTAATAGAAGTAATGTTATGATAATATAATTTCACCCACTTATGAATATCAGGTGCAAACTTAGTAAGTTACAGCATTTTTTTCCATAAAATTCTGTGAAAATATAAAAGGCTTTCTCGAATTCAATAACTAGTACACCGTAGAAGACCAGGAATGTCTCCCTCTTCAGTATACTGCATTCTATCAAAAATTAGCCGAGTATTTTCCCTATTAACCTGTTTTCAATGAAACCAGTTTGATCAAGGATGAATAGTTTCATATCCAAAGTTTTTAATCTATTTCCAATGATAACAGAGGCTATTTTACATATAGTATTCAAAAATGTAATTGGACGAAAGTTTTGTAAATCGCACTGTTGCAACAGTACAAAAAAATCACAATGCACTGGTATGCTGCATATTATCGTAAAATGCAATAGAAGTAATGAATCGAAAGCACTTCATGTCGACTTAGGTTTGTACTACATGCTTTTTCTATATTGCCATATGACTAAATATAGCCCAGTAAAGTGCTGCATGCAATTACAGTAAAACTATTGCAGTAAGGACACTTTTCTACACAATTTCATGAAAAAGTTATATCCAATGCTGTACTGAAAGAAAAGGCAGCAATAATTCATAAGTTTATGATTCATTCTATTCTGATATAATTGTTCCAACCAAATTCATTTATCAAATGGGTCTAGAAGAAAAATGTCTATAGAACCAATTCTTGAACATTTTCATACAGTTTAATTTCGCATTTTCCTGAAAAAGATAAGCCCATACAACATGCACATATTCTTTAACACTACAAAATCTTTATTAGAGAGTTTCTAAAGAGTGTGTTCATCTGCAATCTCATAATATTAGGTGAATATCTCGGAAAATACTTTGCTTTCTTGTTAAATTAACGTAAACTTTTATTTTCAACATTACAGCTACATGTATCAGCCCAAATTTTTGACTATTTTATTCACCAAGATCTTTTGTGAGAGAGAATGTAGGAGTAACCATTACAAAATCGGTATCCATATACAGCAGCAAACAATGATGCATCCTCTGCAAATAAGGGGATAGAAATATTACACCTTAAAAACATTATTCCTGTACGATAAAAATTAAAATGGACATAGCATAGACCCATGATGTACTCCTGCATCAATATTTTTA